TATTATTCGTGCCTGAACTAATGTAGAAATTACATTTGTTTTTCCGTAGTATTTACTTCACTACAAAATCATTTTGATCAGTGTTTGCAAGACCAGCATCATAGGATCATGTATGCTGGTATTTTGGCTCATTTTGAGTCGGAGTGATTGTCAGGCGTCTGAAAGTGAGTTTTGATTGAGTATCTTATATATCTGTGCTGTTTGATCTACGAGCTGATTTAGACGCATCAGTCAGATTCAGTGAACTGGTTCAACTAGTTCACCAAAAACAAAAAAGTAATTCATTTGCAAACTGGACATCACTCCAGACGTTTGCCTGAATCTATGGATTACAGATAATAATGTGGTAAATAATAGAGCCCGACCGATATATAGTTTAGCCGATATTATCGGCCGATATGAGCCTGTCGCTGATATATCGGTATCGGCAAATATGTCGCCGATATGCCGCCGATATGAAAATTTTTTTTACAGAACATATAACGCAGATAAAATGCTTGAAATGGTGTAATTACTTAGTTTGTCCAGCAGAGCGTGCTCCATTGTTTGCTACTGGCCACCAGGATGAAACGCTTTAAAGCTTAAGTCTATGGAAAAGCATTGAAACTTTGAACGGCCATATCTCCATAAAGGCGCGGCGAATCCGCACCAAATTCGGGGATGCACTGAAACTTTGAACGGCCATATCTCCATAAAGGCGCGGCGAATCCGCACCAAATTCGGGGATCTCTTCAGCTCGAGGAACCCTCTCGAACGTGAATCGAGTGTACGTCTCGAGGCCCTCTTTCGAATGAGTCGCGTCAATAGTCCCCCGGGGTTCAGGAGTTACGGGTGGTTAAATTCGCGGTCCGGCGCCGACCGATCTAGAGATCCTGGGGGCTACCGAAGCACGGAGGGTGGCGTTCGAGAGGGCTCCTCGAGCTGAAGGGATCCTCCGAATTTGGTGGAGATCCGCCGATGCGTTCGCGAGATAGTGACACCAGCCAACACTTTCACTTCAGTAAGGAGGTCTCTTGTTCAGGCAGCAGCATTCCAGCATGGTCTTATTCGGCCATAAGTGCCCTGCGAAGTGGACTTCACATGATATTCCGCCATGATTCCAGATCGAAGGGAACGTACATGTTACATTCAAACATGTACACAAATCCGTGAATGAATGTTCCGAAGTGAAATAAACTTAAACGGAATAAAGTTGAATGGAATTGAATTGAATTAAAGTTGAATAAACTTCAACTTTACTGTTCAGTGCACTGATGTCTGATTGGCAGCACGCTATGACAGCGTGAAGATAGTGTCAGCGCAGGGCTGTGTGGTTTAAAGTGAGTTATGATAGTCTGTGTGTACATGTTTGTGCATGTGTGTGTGGAGATGGATTTAGGGAGTTATGAGACCTGTACGTATGTGTGTGTAGTGATGGATGCAGGCCTATGATAGCCTCTATAAGGCTGTGGCTGTTAAGATAAATGTTTGATGGTCTGTGTGTAAGCGAGTGTGTGTGTCTGTGTGTGTGGAGATAGATGTAGAGTTATGATGGTCGGTACAGCAGATGGCAGAGGTCTGCCCTAACAGAACTGATGAATGGCAGATGATGTCATATATATATATATATATATATATATATATATATATATATATAAAAATTAAAAAAAAGTACTTGCAGATAATATATTACTGAAATAAAAGGCCACTTAAGTGTATTTTGATTTTAAAGTTAATTAACATTTAAATTAAAATTGTAATTACACATATATTTAAATGCATGATAAACAATAGTAACAAAAGTATATTTTAGTTTGTCATAAATGCTTGTCGGTACATTCAGCAGTACTTTAACTATATTTCAAAGACAACAGAAGTAATTATGAAATTACATATAATTATGTATTTAAAGGGACAGTTCACCCAAAAATTTTAATTCTGTCATCATTTTCGCACCCTGCACCTGTTGCAAACCTTTGTGAGTTTCTTTCTCCAATTGAACACAAAATAAGTAATTTTAAAGAATGTTGTTGTTCAACCAGACAGTTGACGGCAGCCATTGACTTCCATTGTTTTTTTTCCATACTATTGAAGTCAATGGCTACCGTCAACTGGTTGAACAACAACATTCTTCAAAATTCAACAAAAGAAAGAAACAGATACAGGTTTGGAACAACATGAGGGTGAGTAAATGATGAAAAAATTTTCATTTTCGTCATCCCTTTAAGTGGGTCAAAAAAGTACTATAAAGTTTATATACTTGCATTTAATATAAATTGAAACTATAAAAAAATGTAATTATATGCAATTAAGTGTCTTAAAACATTACATTCAGTTCACACTCAAGTATATTCCTTTATATTATTTCTGTAATAAGTATTTTTTATGTATGCAGTATGCTGAAATTTATTTTTCCACAAGAGTAATATCATAATAATCATTATGATACTGACAAGAAACCACATATCAATCACAACATCCTAGTACAGCAGCAGAGAGCTGAGCACAAGCGTCACTCAAATTCACTTCTTAAAATGTAACAATGTAGTTACTGCAAAATCCATATCCATTAGTTTAACCCCAGGTTCCTCTGAGGCAACAGTCACTGGATGTTGCTTTAAAGGGGTGGTTGATTGCGATTTCACTTTTTTAACATTAGTTAGTGTGTAATGTTGCTGTTTGAGCATAAACAATATCTTGGGCTCTAGTAAATAATTCTCCGTTTCTTGCACAGAACGACCATTTTGCTTCACAGGACCTCAATATATCATCAGGAGCTTTGATATGCTTATTTATTCTCAAAGACAAGTAGCTGCAGACTTGCACTTTATGAATCACCAAGGACCACAGTTTCAGCTAAAAATCTTTACTGTTCTACTGAAGAAAAAAAACAGCTACATCTTAGATGGTGAGTAAATTATCAGCAAATTTTCATTTTTTGGGTGAACTATCCCTTTAGAAACATCTTGGCGGATTTGTGTCTTACAAACACACAGCTTTTCTCAATATTACTTGTGGATTATTGTGATGTTTTTATCAGCTGTTTGGACTCTCATTCTGACGGCACCCATTCACTGCAGAGGATCCATTGGTGAGCAAGTGACTAATTGATGCATTTATACAAATCTGTTCTGATAAAGAAACAAACTCATCTACATCTTGGATGGCCTGAGGTTGAGCACATTTTCAGCTAATTTTAATTTTTGTGTGAAGTATTCCTTTTAATATGGTGGTGTTTTCCTCTGGTTGGTTGAGTTGCAACAGTAACTGTACAGAGACACTGTAATACTTAAGTGGTCACTTTAAGTATTGGAGGGATGTTGTGTGTGTTTGCATTCAAAAACAGCTGAGCACAGCTGAATGAAACAGAACCTTAAGACACATCAATCATGATGTTTCTGACACTGAAAAAACAGCAAGATGCTATGAAACGCCCAAAGAAATGTATCTGATGCATATGTACCAGCAATTATAAAACAGCAGATGGAATTGCTCCATCTCATACATGCAATTCCAATGCCGCAAGTGGAATAATATGTTGAAAATTTGAGCAGTCAAAATTACTGAAAAATTAATTACTGGAGAACAGAATTACTGATTGCCATCATCTATCTGAGCTCAATGTGTGTGAGTCCGCCTGACGCTGATGTGGCCTGTGTAGTCAGTGCACTTTCCTCATTAGTTCCTGGACCACTTACAGCCCCTAATGATATGCTGGAATGAGTCTGACGGGATCTCTAGTCAGGCCAGAGATAATGGGTATCGCTGCCCATAGCTTAGCAGTGAAATATCTTGTCAAGTCATGAAGGTTGTAAGCATCACTAGTACTATTACTATATAAGAAACCCACTTTAAACCCTAAGTATTGTCCGGAATCCATAACTTTGTGGAAAAAAGTGTGCTTAATTGCATTGAATGTGCACTTGTATGTACTTCAAATCTTTTAATGAGGAGGTATCTGGAGCGCAACATCGCGATGGTCATGTTCCCGCACTGAGAACATGACCCATCCACGAACGCCGCCCCAGCGTGCCGAAAGCCCAAGCACGAGAGACAGCGCTCGTGACAGTCAGATGAAGCCAGGAAACGACCACATCCAGAAACGCACGAGCGGGAAGCCAGTCCCAAAAAGACGCCCGTCGCTCGTGGAGCTCTTTTAGAATTTGCTCCTTTAGAAAGGAAAAAACACTCTTTAAGAGAGAGCGCTGAAGCGCCCAGGGGAGGTCGCGGCGGGACCGCAGAATGACAGCTGCAGCTCGCCGAGGTTTCAGCAGCCTGGATGGCAACCCCCGCTGATACGCCGTCACACCAACGCCAGCTGTTTT